GTATAAGCAATGGAAATAAGTAAGTTTAGAGTATAAATTCCAAGTTAACAACTATCCTAAAGGTAACATGATGACTTGGATTTCCAACCAAGGCTGAAGAGAAAGCTATTGGCCTCCCTTTTTGCACAGGCCAAATGATCAGTAATGTGCCAAGATATTTGTTACTGGTGGAGTTGGTGTTGGCTGTGGGTGGTGGATTGACATGTTATCATGGAACTGGAAACAATATGCTATGAAATCGATGCTGAATGTGTTAACCATAATCCTGTTACTATTTATTGTTGCTAGAGAGCCAGAACTGTTTTGGAATTTGAAAAATTCTTACCAAAATGTTTGAGGAAAAAATTCCAACTGGGAGAACGGTGTAAAGTGGCTGAAAATGACACCAGGGTGTGTTTAAGGTAAAGGAAAGCTAAATACTCAATGCTGTGCTATCAGTTGTGCTCTGTGTGCTGCTTCAAAGTTATTTCTTCTCAAAACCCTCCTGAAAATGTTTATATTACCTCTAGAAATTATACTAGTCATGAGATGTTTTAGGGAGAGAGTGATCAGGCATTGGAATGTGCTGCCCAGGGAAGTGGTGGATTCCCCATCCCTGGAGGTTTTCAAGCTGAGACTGGATGTGGCACTTAGTGCCATGGTCTAGTGACCACAGTAGGATTGGACTTGATGATCTTGGAGGTCTTTTCCAACCCAATTGATTCTATGATTCTAGGAATTGATTGGTATTTGATCATTACCATATTAAAGAAAAACGTTGGTTTGGAAGAATCCTTAGGGTGAGTTTTAAGCTGTACTTGTAATGTGAGAAATTATAAATCATCTCAGTGTTATTCTCACCTTCATATAGTGCATAACTCTACAAGAGACATTCAGAGATTTGGTAGCAGTGAAACAGGTGGAGGTGGTAAAGTGTGACAATCCCAGGAAGGAATAAAGGAACCAAAGGGAAAGTGCAGAGATGTAGCTGGCAGATAATGCATGATGATAACACAACTTTGTCCAATGTAAACAGGATTAATGAAGTGAAATGGACTGAGTGGAAAACACATGTTTCATTTATTAATGAAGACCCAGGGCCAACAGGTACTGTGGAATTTCATGGCACTGTATTTGTGAAATCTTTTCTTCTCAGAAATGCTTTGATATAGTTTTATACCTTTTGAAAATAGAAACTCTCATGGTCTTGGATATTCAACCACACTTTGCTGCTAAAGAAACGAATGGTTAATGTGGTAGCAGTGTTAAACTAAAGGTTTGGGGAGAAGGTTGGTTACAAACTTGTATGTTTGGTGATATATATTGAGTGACAAATTGCCCCTCACAAATATTGATCAGGAAACCCAAGACACTCATCTGCTGCCTGTTCTGAAGTTTCTTCTTGAGCCAATTAGCATTTATATTGCTTAGCAGAATGAGCTGAGTAACAAGGAAAAGGAGCAGCCAGAAAAAAATCTCAGTATGAGATATGGTAGTAAACTGACAACTTGCTGTGTAAATAATTGCGTGTTTTCAACTCCTCCCAAAAAAATGATGTGCAAAACTTTGATCTTGCATTTACAGTTTCTACCATATCCTGTTTTGTTTACAATGCATTTTCTTGCAGATCCAAGCAAAAGTCAAGATAATTCAAGGACTAATAGCAAAACCACCCTGAATACGTTTGAAGAAATGGATGATTTGCCTGAGACTTCTGTTTAGTTGTGCTGTGTTTGAGATGTGGCTGTTCTGAAGGTTAAAAGCATCAGCAGTGGATGCTGAAAGCTTTGTTGATGTTTTGGACAGCTGTAACCAGCTGGAACACAAACTTTCAGTGACACAGTCTGATGGCTTGAACCCATTTAGTCAGGGCAGCTAAGCTAAAGTAAAATGGACTATTTCACTGCTTTGGTTTTGAGCCTCACAGACCATTGCTGTCCGAGTTTGCGTGACGTTGCTCAGACTTGGCTCTAATAACTGGATAAAAAAGGTCAAATGTGAGCTATTCCTTCCTTTTGTGGAAAATTAAGGTCATTGGGATCCCAGTCTGCTGGGTTTGGGAATCTCTTAACTCATGAGAAACTCGATTTGTACACTGAACAAAGTTAAGTTCTTGTCGTGGAGAAAAGCATTTCAGTTCTGAAGACACTAAATGAAGTATGTTATTGTGAAATCACAATGTTCTGGATACATTTGAAGCTTTTTGCATTGACTGTCAGTGTTACTGGAGGTTTGGCCCCACGAGCTGGAGAAAGCCTCAGGTCCCAGTAGCTTTGCCTGATCTGTTTTCCTCTGTGCAATCTTCAGGGAATAATGTGGAGTTTTCTGCTCTTTATTTATTACTCTGTGCATTTGTCTCCCCATAAAAGAATAGGGCAGAAATATAATTCAGGATGGAGGACATTTCTGAGACTGTTCCAGTCACAACATCTTTACTCTCCCTCCTTGGCTGTTCCAGGCTGTTGCACTTGGTACATAAAATAAGTTTTCACATTGGAAGTTCTTCTGAATTCATTTCAGCATTCAGCCACTTCAGGAGAAGAAGAACAGTCAGTATTTCTTCCCCAGATGAACACATAATTTCAGTGCAATGCAACTGCAGACTTTAGTTTTGGTTCAGAGTACTATGTAATGCATTTCTGTAGCACTTTTTTCTATCACTGCCTGTGATGACCTGGTACTATGAATTATATTTTTAGTTTTCTGTTTGATGTGTATATACGAAATGTGTTCAATGTACTTTTCAATTTCAATCAGCACATGATGTGTATTGAGTGTCTTGGCTTTTCACCATATCCATTCACTTGGTGCCTGTTTAAAGGTGCTGCTTTAGGGAAGACTCAGGGGAATTCTGTTCTGCAGTTGGATGATACTAAGAATTGCGTTGGATTTTACAGCTAAACCTGCTGGGGGCAAAATGCTCCAAAAGACTTTCTTAAGACAGAAGAGAGCGTGAGGGAACACTGCAGCAGGAAGGACAGTGCAAAGCTCTTTGCAGGGATGGTGGATGTGGCTTTCACTGCCCAACCAGATGCTGAATCCTGTGATTCCTACCACGCGTGGCCTGGATGGATGGGATGGAATGGAAACCTTCAGCTGTGTCTTTACAGGGCATAGGAACACTAATGTGTATCACTAGACTGTGTAATACCTGAGTGGTGTTTGGCTTTTTCAGCACAGGATATGTAGAGAAGAAAAACTCCTGTGCTCTTGGACTCTTTTCACCTTTGCTGGTTAATTTTGCATCGAAATTGCCGATGAAGAATTTTGCCCTAGGACTGTGCAGTTCTGTTTGGACTCTTTTCAGTGCCAGTTTTTGTACAAAGGAAAAATACCTCTTCACATGTACTCAGGAACTGAAGCAGCCTGTGCTGGGCTCTGTGTGGCTGTGGGTGGACTTTCCTGTGCTCTTGGACTCTTTTCACCTTTGCTGGTTAATTTTGCATCGAAATTGCCGATGAAGAATTTTGCCCTAGGACTGTGCAGTTCTGTTTGGACTCTTTTCAGTGCCAGTTTTTGTACAAAGGAAAAATACCTCTTCACATGTACTCAGGAACTGAAGCAGCCTGTGCTGGGCTCTGTGTGGCTGTGGGTGGACTTGTCACTGAAAACCAGCCAAGACACCTCAGTGCTGTGCTGAGGTCATGCTGGGGGTGTAGACAAAAAAAAGGGAAGCACAAGAACCATGTGCTGTGCCAATGTCCAGGTACAAAACTGTATGGATAAACCAAGGAAGGAGCTGGGGGGTTGTGTCTAGAATTTCTTGCTGAGAGATTGCCCTCCCTGTGTGGCCACAGAGCATTTACCATCTCCTAGCTCAAGGTTTGTACCAAGAGCTCTATGAATGATGACTAGAGCAGGTCATTCTGGACTTTTTATACAACCTTTATTTAAACTAAAGAAATAAAACTTGTGATTCAATAAACATTTGGTCCTGTGTTTTTATTTTATTGCCAGAGGAGTTACACAAAGACAAGGACAAAATACTTGATATTTAGTAGTAAAGAAACATCACTTTTCCAAACATATCATATGGGAGTTGTCTGGACAATTAAACTGTCAGGAAATAGTTAATGTATCCTTATGCAAAGTTCTTAATGTTTGTCACCAGATTGTCAAATATGTTAAAAGCAGCTTTAGAAAATGAATTAAAATCCCATTTTCTTCTCTTTTTCAGTTACTATGACAGAATTTCTCTCTGCAGATACAGAACAAGGCAGCCTGGAGATTCTGGGACGTGTCTCCATATGGAAATCTTAATTTCCATCAGGAGTTCTCAGGTATGGTTTGTGCATTTCTCCTCATCAAATCCTGAGTAATTGCCTAAATCTTGCCTTTTTCATTCACTTTTGGCGTACAGCAGTTAATATTTAATTTGGAAAATGCTATAAGCAATAGATAGATACATCTAGAAAGTTATAAAGCTATAAATTTCTCTAGTCTCCATTGCAATAGAAGTTTTCCTCTAAAGTTCACTGGATAAGTAAAGCTTTTGCTTCTGAATTTGAATATTGCTCCACTATGTTTCCAGCTACTCAATGCTCCCTAAATTCAATCTTTTTTGTCTGTAAGTTAATATTAAATCAGCTTGAATTAATCATGAAATACACTAAAATGAAATGTAAATCTTTGTAGAGTATATCATAGAATGATAGGATCAACCAGGTTGGAAAAGACCTCCAGGATCATCAAGTCCAACCCTACTGTGTTTACTAGACCATGGCACTAAGTGCTGGTTATGGAGGTTTGAGATTATGAAGTAGAAAAGCTGCAATTATTTTATCTAATGTAGTTCTGTGGCTGAACATCTTCATAAAAACTTCATAAAAATATTCTCTGCATCTCTAGGAATCTATTAGAACAACTAAACAGGAGCCATAATCAGCATTATGACATTAGGTTTCATTTAAAAGTGCTCAGCAGTGTTAATTAAATTAAATTTTATAATTAGAGTTATTCCATAAAGACTCTTGGGTGACCCTGGAGTCCACAAAGGAACCCACAAGGTCTGTGATCAGTTCTTAGGACGTGCTCTGGTCTGAGACTGAGGCCCTGAGGTGTCTTGCAGTGAGTTTCACTTTCTCTGTCTTCACAAAAGCTTCTTTCTTTTCATAATATGCTGCTTCATTAATAAATGTTGGGTAGACTGTAGAGTTCCCTTGATATGGAATTACTTCTCCATCAAAAGTCACAAACAGAGGATCCCCATCCTCCAGTGGCTGCCAGTCTCGGTCCTCAGGGAAAGAAAATAAATAGGATAGATTTACTTTCATAGGCATTTTATGTGATGTCTGAGGTTTGTGCTCAACAATTAGAATTTCTGCAGTTTATGGAAAAAGCTTTTAAAATAATTCCTTTAATCTGCAGTACATTTTGGGTGTTTTGCCTTTGTTTTCAGGATCGTAGGCTCATCCCTTCTCTCCATCTATGACACAGTTCAGAGTTCAAAATTGATTTATATTTTACAATTTTGACCCATCCAATTGTCTCCTTTTTTTCAGTCTTAGGTTCAGAACTGATTTTAGATTCAGTGATCCCCAAGTCAGTTCCCAACACTGTATATATGACCTTAGTGATAAAACTGAACTCTAAGGAAGATATTCAATAAATCCATTGGCAATACTGGTGTTTAAAATATTTGCTACTAAAATATATTGCAATGTAGCAGAAGCAACACAGGAATACATAGAAAGTGTCACAAACAGAAACTATTCTAGAATTTACCTGCAGTTTAGGGTGAATAATAGCAATAATTTCACCATTCTTTTTCCTGGGATAATCTACTTTCTCCATTATTTTAAAAACCTCAATTGTACATGGTGGAAATTCCTTTCCTAGAAAGAAGAAATGTAATTTAATGTCAAAATGAACAATTGGCTGTCAAAAAGAACAATGCATTATTAATTCTTTTCAGAATGGCTCAAATCCTTAAGTTGTCCCCTCAAAGCCAAGTTACAGAAAGATGGTTCAGTCATGTATTGAGGCATAGCAAGCCCAGGTCTAAATTTGCTGCTGACATTTAACTTCTTAGTGTATTTTGTAGATGAAGAAATCAATGCAAGGCCTGTGTTTGGCAGTGCTGCACAACACAGAATGGAGCAGTGCTATGTCATCTTTACCATTCCAGCACAATAATGGAGATGCTGAGATACAAACTTATATTATTTTCCTCCTACTTCCATCTTACCAAACATGTTGACTTTAATTTTAGCGACCGATCCTCCCCCACCACCCTTTGACCTGTTTAAGTCCAAAGTGTTGGAGCCCAACCTATTTTCCTTCAATAATCCCCTGACATGACACAGGAGCTATAATCTCTCATTACCTTCATTAAAAAGCTGCACAAAATCAAGGCCATGTTTGACAATCTTCCTCATTTTGTCCAACACATCAGCTCTAGCAACACCTTGTGGCTGAGGACCCACCTCCACACCTGTGTGCAGACATGGGAGATGGTTAATGTGCCCAGAACACATCAGGAACAGGTGTCTGATGGGTTAGTGTTCAATATATAAAAGAAATTGTGAAGTACAGTTGTGTGGTTTATAAGGCAAGCAGAAAACATGGCTCGCCCATCAGGGTTAGTTTAAAGAACTGGATGTATGTTTTTGAGAGTGCTGTGAGGGTCAAAGAAATATACTGTATATATTTCTTTCTCTTAGTCTTTTCCTCATCCTGTTCATGCTGCATTTTAAAGAACTCATTGTTTAATATGCAAAGCAAAATAATGATGTTTTGCTTGTTGTTGTGATTCCATAAATGAAGAAGTTAACAACTCCCATGCAGAACATCATTTCCCCCTTCCTTTATCACATCTTCCCTTCTCCTCTTGGCTAACAAGCAGTGTTTCAGCCAAGGCTCATTCAGAGGATGTAAACATTGCTTTTCTGAGGCTTTTACTTCCTCTTTCTCCTCAGAAGTTATAAATATGCTCTGCAAACAGTGGGTTAAGTGAGTTTAAGAATTTCCATCTGGCTTCTGTATTTTGTAAGCCAAGTGTAAGTCAGAACTCAGAAGAAGAATCATATCTATTTGATTGGGTAAACATGTTGTCAAACAAACAGCTCCTGGTGATCAGAGCACTGAGCATAGCACAGTGAAATCATAGAATCAATCAGGTTGGAAAGGACATCCAAGGTATCAAGTCCAACCCTACTGTGGTCACTAGACCATGGCACTAAGTGCCACATCCAGTCTCAGCTTGAAAACCTCCAGGGATGGGGAATCCACCACCTCCCTGGGCAGCACATTCCAATGTCTGATCATTC